GGCCAAGGACCACCCTGGGCTGTCGAGTCATTGATCATATTGGTTTAAGAGGTGATTGAAAAAAATGGAATATAAATATAAAAATAGATTTTATGTTTAAAGTATTTAATTATAGTATTTAATGTGCGCATTCACTTAAAGATATTTTATGGACGAATTTACTGACATTAGTTTTAGGGGCTATTGAACTCTTAAATATAATTAAAGCACAAAGTTATTAAGAAAGTATAGCTTAATTTTTTTAAAACTATAAATAATAATTTAATACAGTTGGATGATATGGCAAAATAATTAGATCGCAAATTTAGAGATAAATCATATTTTTTTCTTATATTGTTAAGCATTTTGATTTTTTTCCTCTTTAATCCGAGTTTTAAACGACGAAAAAATATTCTGTTTCATATTAAAAAAAAAAAGAATATATTTCAGAAAAATAGATAATGCTAATTCTTAAAAAAGAACAATTTAGTTTGTTTAAATAGAAGTTTATTTAATTCAATTTGATTTAAAATTCTCCTTTTTGGTTTAAACCTTGTTTCTGAAGGCATATAAATAATTATACATTTCAAATACTTGTTAACTTTAAAAAATATTATAAATTCCGACAAAAAATGCATTTAAGTATAAAATTTGAATGTTTTCTAATTATCTTTTACTACACATATTATAAATCAAAAGTTTTTGAAATTATATTAAGTTTGAATAAAAGAAAAGTGTAGTTACTTTTTGATTATTCGGTAAGTTATAAATCACATATTATTTCTGAACACTTACAAATATATACTAAAAAAATAACAACTTGTTTCTTTTTCACATCCGTATATTTTCATGTGACATCAAAACACTGTTATATTACTACAGATAAATATACCTTAAAGACAAAACTGTGCAAATGTTATTAAAGCACTTCTCATTAAATTGCAGTGCTTATAATACCAAGCAACTGTCATCGAGCTGACGTATTGTAGTTAGTTTTCTGCTAAATTTGAAATTATAATTCTTCCACTTTCATGAATGAAATAAATAACAAACCTGTCTTCCGCTTTATCTTATATATCCACCTGGACCTAGTCATTTAGACAAGCTATGCAAAATTGCAACAGAACTTAATTTTGTAAACTCGCCCTCCTCTCAGCTTGTGGAAACACATTACACTAGCATAATCGCCCATAACTCTTAAGAAATTTGTTACGGAGACATTGGAAGGGGACACATGAGACACTAACGCCTGGAACCATACCGTAATTTGATGCGGGGGCTTGTTTTGAAACCCGTAAGAGAGTTTGGTATATAATTTTAAGAGTAATAATATTTATAATTATTTTATGCTATGACATTGTGTTTATCTAGATAGCAAACTCTTTAGTTAAGGGAACAAGTTTGATAATAATTATTGCTTCAGTTGCTTCTACAGAAAATCGAAAATTTCAAAAGCTGGAGATCCCGTGAGATTTTGAAAGATCGCGTGCTGGATGTTATGCAATGTCTGATAACTATTAGATCCGATTTTGTGTAATGTATAATTGTAAACAACTATTGATATTCGATGAGATAATAGCTAATTTTCTATATAACACGGCTACATAAATGTCTAATAATTAAGCAAGACATAATCTTTGAAGCCATTTAAATTAAAAGATAAATTATTTCAGAATTTTCTGTCAGTGAGATGAAACATGTAGACTTGAATGAAATTTGTATGAATTTCGTTTTTATATCTATTAACATTTTGAAAATGTCCCAAAATTTGTTTATAAAAAATATTTCTCAGATGTGTGAATCATACCTTGCACAATTTACAAATATTTAGAGGTTTCCTAAATTAAAATCTTCAAATTTAATTCTACACAAACCGAAATAAAATTGGAACGCTGCGAGTTGTATTTAAACAAGTATGCAATCCTCAGTTTTCTATACTGTAATAAGACTTTAGTGCATGAATTTCAAAAGTATCTTCTTCATATACTTCATAAGTTTCATGTATCTTCATATAGTCTTCATATATTTTTATAAATTTCAGTTTATTAAATGGAGATATTTAAGTTTGAAAGATAATGAAGCCATGAGACGTTTTCTGGGTGGAACATTTCATCAATTGTCAAATGGAAAACAAAACTTTTAAGTTTAATTTTATTGCTTTTACTTTTCTTTAAAAGATGCTAGTAAAATAAATATAGAGTGGGGTCTACAACATGTTAATAATGGTGGTGATTTGCGATTTAAAATTAATTTTAATACGAGATATATGTAATATAAATAATAAAATAATTAATAAAATTAAAAATAAAAAGTGAAATGTTTGGCATAATAGTTTCACATAGAATGGGGCATCTAGTCCTTTCATATTTCCATCAGTATGAAGATAAAACGCGAGTTTCTAATAAGATTCAAAGTTTAGGTCAGCTAAGCTGGTCGGCATTAGTATTAGGTGACATAATTAGTCCATTGTTATGTGTGTGTGTGACGTAATTTAAATTATAGAACCATAACATTATGTGGCTGAAAGCATAGCGACAGAATTTAGCTAGAAGAATAGCGAGATAATCAAACGCACAGAATGGTGACATAATCTAGCTGACCGAATAATGACAAATCTAACTGACAGAATAATTGTATCGATATTCAATTTCCCTGAAACTTTTTAAAATATAGTGTTGAATTTCAACAGATCGTAGAATTATTTTTGACGTGATGTTGAACACTAAAGAAATGATTTGAATTATCTACATTACCAGATCGTAATAAATAACTGTATGACGTAAATGAGTGGCACAAGAAGGAGAGGGCAACTAAACATATTTACATTCATAAACTCTTTTTAATAGGAACGTAAAGAACAAATATTACATTTTCGATATTTTTATAATGGATTTTTAATAGCTGTATATATATATATATATATCGAAATAGTTACATGAATGTGATGTTCAAGTCAAATTGCAGATTCCAATATAGGTAGCACAGAATAGTTACCCTGCGCTAAATTCAATTGTGTTTCAGTGTCCCTGTTAGGGGAGTGAGTGAGTGAATATTAACTCGCACTGCTTCAGCTACAAGAGGTCTTTTGGCGACGGACCATGTAATTTTGAACCATGGTCAAGTGACGTGGACGAGACTTGAAGCTGGCACCACCCTCTCATAACTACCACACTAACGGAAGGAGGTTTCAGCTCTCGACAGATTTAACGTGCATCGCTGCCCTACACGGCGGGTCATTAGTGGTTCTGGGCTCGAACTCATGACATGTCTGCCAAAATCCGATACCTTGACCACTAGGCTACCGCAGCTCCCCCCCTCATTAGGGGAAGAAGCTACGTACGTAAAAAATTAAATTGAGTAGTCCTCTTTACCTGATTAGGATTTAAAAATATAGATTTTATATGTCATTAAATAGCCTTCATAAGACTAGATGTATAAAATACAGTCAACCTTTTTATAACGAACAGCGAACTTTTTCCTGGGACCTTGAACATTTCACGATTTTCTTCGTAAAAAAAACCAATCTATAGCGAAGTGCATTTCTATATAAAGAAACTTTTTCTTTTGTGATTCAATTTTTGTTCTCCCTTTTTTTAAAATTATTTCTGAAAAAATTTCAAGTTTTTCTCACTTTAACGCATTTTATGGTGGTCATAAATCTTCAACTGGTTTTATTAGATCCTAACTCGCCGAGAACAATAAAGTTCTGGACGTTTCATCCAAGAAATGCAAACTTTAACCACCATTGCCCAGTTCACTGGAAATATCTTCGATATCCTTCTTTAACCCTCGGTGGAGTTGTCCCGCTGCATGTTTAATATTACTCTTGTACGCTTTAAACTTTTAAAATCTTAAAATTCATTAATTTTAGTATAAAATTATTTTCTTAATATTGAAAATACAGTGAATTCTTTAAAATTATTTTTTCTTGTTTTCTTTGCAGTTTTCTTTCTTTCTTTCTTTTTTCATGGGTAAGATATATAAAATACACATATATTAATTTTAAAAAAAGTGTGAATAATTACTTTTTTAATATATATAGAGAGAGAGTGTTTATGAATTTAAAATTTGTTTTATGTGGTTTATGATGTATATTAGAGGAAGAACCTCTATATAACGAATTTTCCATGTAACGAACTTTTTCCGGGATTTAGCGACTTCGTTAAATAAAGGTCCGACTGTAATTCAAAACTAATAAATTTTATTTCTAACCGATTTCTCGTCTAAGAATAAATTAATTCCATGCATATACAGTCGAATCCCGATTTAACGAATTCATCAGGACCTTGCATTTTGCTCGTTAATTCGGGGTTGTTCGTTATATATCGGGGTCCAAACAAAATACAATTATTTTGCTCTTCCGTTTCGGAAGTTCAATAAGCACAACTACACATCCATAGAGAAAAAATCCATAATTAGAAATTCAGTATTAATTATTGAAGTTATACTTCTTTTGGGGCTTTAGAGAAATAGGATGAGGGTAAATTTTTTCAATGCGCGCGCACCCCGTCATGGATGCGAAAATCCTTCATCTAGAAATATACAGAACGGGATAAATCTCGCCTTCAAAATTCTCAGAAAAATATTTCTCTTCACTTTCCTGAAGAAGGGGACAACTGGGTTTAAACCGGAGACCTCTCAATATGCAGTCGAATGCTCTACCACTGAGCTATACACCCGCGTCAGCGAAACCTTTGTTTTGTGTTCCGTATATAGGAACGTATACGACAATGCTTTGTCTAGAAATATATACAGAACGGGACATATCATTGCCGCCTTCAAAATTCTCAAAAAAATTATTTCTCCTTACTTCCCTGAAAATGGAGGCACCCGGGTTTGAACCCAGGACCTCCCGATCTGCAGTCGCACGCTCTACCACTGAGTTATACACCCCGTGTCAGAAAGCCTTTGCTTTGCGTTCCGTAGGAACGGATACGAAAATGCTTCGTCTAGAAATATACAGAAGGGGACAGATCATTTCCGCTTTCAAAATCCTCAAAAAAATTTCCTCTTCACTTCACTGAGAAGACTCCCGGGTTTGAACCGGGAAACACTCGATCTGCAGTCGAATGCTCTACCACTGAGATATCCCTTCGCGCCAGCGAACCTTTGCATTGCGTTCTGTAGGAACGGATACGAAAATGTTGTCTAGAAATATGCAGAATGGGACAGATCATTCCCGCCTTTAACCTTCTCCCCATATTATTGGACCTATTGTTCCATTGCAGGGGTGTTTAAATTTATTTAAATCGTGATTATCTCAGGTTTGGCTGGTCCGATTGATGAAGGTTAGATCGTTCAATTCTCTGACCGCCTTTCGCCCTTTGGGCCCACTTGCCCCTGCAAAAAATTTTTTAAAAATTTTAACTTGTTACGCCAAAGAAGTATAACTTCTTACGTGGTACATAAGTACACAACACTTTTTATATAATATATCCATAGTTAGAAAAAGAAATACCCATAAATAGAAATTACCTTTTTTTATTCACACAAAAGCAAATTTTTGAATTATTTGAAACAGTTAATTTTCAAATTTTTTAAAAAAATACTACTAATAGATGTTAAAAAATCTTTTTTGATTCCTGATTAAAAAGAGTTCTTTTCTTTTTGGAAAAAGAACACTGAATCATTTTAATCTGCTGCATAAAAAGGATTTTTCCCCAAAAAACGAAAAACATAAAAATTTAACAGTTCCGATAAGTTCCATTATCTATTTTTTCATTAAAACCAACCCCCAAAAAAATTTTTTTTAAAATTTACTTTTTTTTCTTATAGATAGGCACCCGTCATAAAGTATAGAAAAAGTTAAAAAAACCCTTTGCGTTTGGATGGGGAGGGAAGAAAAAAGGGAAATTTCCTTGTGCTCTCAAGCCCTATGTTTTTTTAGGCTTACCGCACTTTTAAGGTACCCGACTACGTTGGAACCGTTTTAAAAAAGCGCATAAAGGGATAATTTTTCATATATTTAGGTCATTTGATTACGATACATGTATAAAATTGTTTTAGACTTTTTAAAAAAATTTTTAAATACAATATTTCGGCAAAAAAAAACTTAGAATAACCTTTTTTTTAAAATGTTCTCCCTTTTTGAAAAAAATTTTTATTATTAAAAAATTTTCCTGTATATACTCAGACCTCTACACAAAGGCTCCCCTTTATTTTTTAAAAATTCACATTATTTTCAGAGTTACAACCATTGAAATAATTATCGGCCTTTTTTTTTTTAAAATTTCTCCTTCTGTTTTCGTAAAAAATTAAAAAACAACTTTTAAGTTATTATTTCAAAAATTCGTTGAACCTCTGTACAGAGGTCTGGAACTATTACAGGCAAAAATTATTATAATAGAAGCATTTTTCACAAAAAAAATATTTTTAAAATGGTCATTCTAGTTCATTTTGTCAAATATTTACTTATTTTTTATTTAATACTATTCTTAAAAAAAAATTTTTTTATACATTTTTTAATGACACTAAATATCATAAATAATATTTACCGCAAATTGCGTTCGAACGTATAAATACTAAAATAAAAGACACGTTTAAATATCTACTTGAATAAAAAATATTTTTTTTTCCCAAAATATATTCTTTTAAAAAAAAAACACTTTTTTTTTAATACAAAAATATAAAAAAAAATTTCAAGTTGCTGAAATAAAATGTTAAATTGGGGTTAATGCGTTAACTTTAACCGGGGGAAGAGAAAAATTCGTGAAATCATGATATTCGTTAAATACGGGTTTCTTAAATCGGGGTCCGATCTTATAATTATTTGATCAAGTATAATTTTTCAGATGCCCTCTCACTGAGCGTCTTTTTGTGGGATCAATCTCTATCTTCTTTTGGTAGGATTACATAAATGTTATTTTGAAACTGTATTTTCCATTTGGGGATAATCTAAAACAAATCTTTGAGGTGGAGCTATACCTGTAAACTTTTATATCATAGGAGAATTCTACGAACATTTAAAGGACACTAGGAATGTCTCTGAACAATAGTTCCATAAATTGACTACCCTAGGGAAGATATATTTTTGAAACAATCTACGCCCAGAGTCGGGGGAAAAAAAGATGCATTCTTGGGGAAATTTTTTTTTCACCTATACTCAAAACCTTCTTGCCTTCAAGGATTGCATTTTTATAATGGAAACTCGCTTGATTGGGGTTTAATTCTCATTTAGCTATCTTTTCAATGATCGCATTTTTTATTTAAAGAAATTAATTTTATGGCTGAATGATAATTGATTAAATCAAGTACAAGTTTATTAAATTGCGTTGTTTTTGTTTAAAAGGATCGAAGTTTATATGGAGGTTTAATAAAATGAACAGTGTAATAAACGCTGATCACATAACCTGAGAAATGAAGATGAAGATTTCATTTTTGCTGAATTCAATGTAATTAAAGGAGTTTTAAACACGTAATAAAAAATAATTTCTTGTATTAATTACATTTGTACGTGGGAATGTTATGAAACATACCAAATAGAGCAGGCGCTATATAAAAACCTTAGGAAATTTATTAAGTATTGTTATTTAACAACGATAAGTATTACACGGAAGTATACAGTTATTTAATAATCAATTCGTATGTACAAAGGTATTCTATAAATGAAAAGGTAATTGTTGCAAAATAAGAAGTGAAAAAGTGTAAGAAGGAAAAAAGCACAAAAAATATGCAATTTGTAATTAAATTCAGATATGTATAATTGTTGAAGTTCAAGAATTGTGATATTGCACAATTTTAGCTAAATATATTTAGTTTAATTCTAACACTCACTATTTTATTAGGAACAAAATATGATGAATATTAAATCACTTTTGAACGAAACACTAAATACGGCGAATTTATCGATAGAAATAACATAAATGAGGTAGTCTTGAAAAATTTTTACTATCAAACATTTAACTTGGATAAGATTATTCTCTCTTGCATACTTCTAACACACTGAGTGGAAATATTTTAAACATTTTAATATGAAAGTATTAGTTAAAAATTCATGAAAATTTAATTTTAAAACATATCATTCTCTTCACAGGAAAAGTGCTTCAGAAATTTAAAGCTGAAAGCCAAAATTTTTAAAATAAACAATCTTTATTTCCTTAAGAATTATGGAATCTTGGATATTAGTTCTGAATATTATTTTAAATTTAGGTTAATTTTTATTTGATTAATTCGTTCGAAATAATTTTATATTCTGCTCAATTGATAATATTTTCCAATTTCCTATCTCTCAGTTCTAAGTTTTTATCAAAATTAATAAAAAGCAAAATAAAAAAATTTTTTTTTTTTAAAATGTTTAGTCACTCCTAGTTGTAGTAGAAAGGAAATGTTCTGTTTTGCTTTTCATTTAAGGAAAATATCATCAACAGCCATAAGCAAATCTAGACTTCACTTCGATAACAACGAGTATAGACTTGAAATTGCTTCTCAACTAACGAATTTGTAATAAAATTCTTCTCCCTGTGAATTATGTCGCGAATTTATTTTATCTGTTTCCTATGTAGTTTTAGTCGCGAATGAATTTGCCTCTTTTTTTGTGTTAGTTATTTTTGCTTTACCTGAAGTAGAAGCTTGTTTTACTTATAATTTTCATAGGAGATAGATTGTAACTAATTAGAGTTAAATAAAAGTAATTATTTAGTACATGTGTTCATCCAATTACTATTATTAACTGTATTTTTTTATAATTGCAATTACAATAACCAAATAAAGGTTAGACTCCATAAAATGAACATTATTTTTATTGGAAATAAAATGAACTCTTAAACTTTTTAACAAAAGATGTGTGCCTGTCAAATATGAACTGGAAAATTGTGGTGAGAGTTTCGTGATGAATGAATAAGTCACATAAATGAGTAAGTTAAATTTTAAAAATATTATTATTCATTTTTAATTAGTTTTAAGCGTCACCGCAAAAAAAAAAAAATTCTTAAGTATGAGAAATTTCAATAAAATAAACGATGAATTTCAAAAAATATATTCAAACTCTGATTTTTCTCAGATTTAGAAATTGCATAAATACTTATTAGACATTATGGTACGAATTGATATTATAGACAGAATACATATTTTCTGGGACGAAATTGTACAATATGTATAAGTTTGCTTCATAATAAATTTTTAAGCACTCGAATATATGTTCATATATAAATTCAATTTCCCATGTGTTATATATATAGCCAGTTTAAAAAAAAAATCCTATATTTATGCTGATCCCGTATACTATATTAGCAGTGCTACAACAACAAAAAGAATCAATGCCACAAAAAGGAAAAAATAAAATAAAATAAAAAGGAAAAAAAAAAAAAGAACGCCGATATTCGCAAGTGCACAGTCTCGATCTAAGTGAGTCCACCAATAAAAAGCGCATCGACGTGAAGCATTTGGCGCCATTTAATATTTCGCACGTCTTCGGCTATTAGGCCTTATGTAAGAAAGCGTGTTGGGGGCAAAGGGGGACGTAGAAAATCGATACTTCACCGCGATATCGATAGGAAGGAGCACGTGACTGGACTGCGACAAGAGAGACTTTTCCATGAGTTGAAAGTACCGGCGACTTTAAAAGAAATAAAAACGTGGACGAACACATTTGTATTCTTGACTCGAGTTTTCTCTCTCCCTTTTTCCAACCCCTCTCCGAATGTTCACGAGAGAATTTTTCCTGTGGTAGCGAGTTCTACGCCTTTTTTCCACCCTTAGACGCGAGGGAATATTTTATTTTACGCTATTACTAGGGAATATCTAGTAAAAATTAGATGAAATGGTGAGAAGTTCGTTTTTTCCCCCTTTTTTTCTAACTAAGGTGCTATCTTTCTTTTTCTAACCGTAGGGGCGCTAAACCAGAAGAAGAGTAAATAAAAAGAAAAGAAAAAGCCAAAATTTCTTTTGGTGGAATTTACCCAATTATAGCACCGTTATATGATGGAAGTGGGCGTCAGGCAATAAAAGGCTTTTGAAAATGCTTATTATTTTGCAAGTGTGTGATAAGCGTTTAAAAATTCCTTCTTGCAAAGAGTTACTTTTAATTTTACGAGGCAAATACTTTATTTCTGGAAGAATTAATTCTAGTTTAATTTTGAAAAAGCAATAAACGGGACT